AAACACACACTGTAAAACTAAGGAATTGTTGCAGTCATCCAGTAATAACTACAGTTATTAAACACACACTGTAAAACTAAGGAATTGTTGCAGTCATCCAGTAATAACTACAGTGGTTAAACACAGACAGTAAAACTAAGGAATTGTTGCAGTCATCCAGTAATAACTACAGTGGTTAAACACAGACTGTAAAACTAAGGAATTGCTGCAGTCATCCAGTAATAACTACAGTTGTTAAACACAGACTGTAAAACTAAGGAATTGCTGCAGTCATCCAGTAATAACTACAGTTGTTAAACACAGACTGTAAAACTAAGGAATTGTTGCAGTCATCCACACATCGTTTTTGATGGCATCATCCCCGACACACATGTGGCGCCCTCTAATGGCGTATTACGCAAGAGCAGCCCTAACTACTCTCGTATCGATCAGAAGTTTAGTAGCATTAGTAGCTTCTGACTGACCAGAGCTTGTAGCGATCAGAAGTTTAGTAGTAATAGCTTCTGACTAACCAGAGCTTGTATCGATCAGAAGTTCAGCATCAGTAGTAGCTTCTGACTAACCAGAGCTTGTATTGATCAGAAGTTCAATAGTAGTAGTAGCTTCTGACTGACCAGAGCTTGTATCGATCAGAAGTTCAGCAGTAGTAGTAGCTTCTGACTAACCAAAGCTTGTATACATCAAAGGTTCAGTAATAGTAACTTCTGTCTAACCAAAGACTGTATCGATCAGAAGTTTGGCAATGATTTGTCGACAGTTAGAAATATTGAATCTCGGGTATGATTATCAAAAATGTCCACCGAATGATAATTAGACAACCCACAAAATTTCTTTAATGTTTATTTCTTCTAGGAATGTGTTGATGTCTTGAAATAAAACTATATTTCAATGTCTTAAGTAAATTATACCAGACTTTCTATTACTCACCGTCATCAGAGTCATACAGGTAAATGATCGATTTCCAATCGTAGTGTTTAATGACGTCCATCACAGCTCGAAGATAATTTGGTCTCATGCTGACCCCATAATGAGAGGGACGCTCAACTGATTGTTCAGGGAAAGCAGGGCTTAGAAATGGCATTTGGAAAGTGTTGGTGTAGGAGGCTAGAGTATCGTAGAGTGGTTCTCTTGTTGGTGCGACGAATATAAAAATTCCATCGCTTAGCTCCTGGCAAACTGTACGTAAAGAAAAACAGTAAACGTTTTATTGTCGTTCATTACCGTGCTACTGATAACACTCTACGTCTACTTCAACATAAAACTCTACATGGCACAGAATTGAGACAGTATTAACAGTCAACAAAAACTACGTAAAGTATTGGTTTAATAAATCTAGGTATCACACAGCATTGAGCCAAGTGTTAACAGTCAACAAAAACTACATAAATTTTCATGAAATGAACGGAATCACTTTAAAAATCTAACTTTAATTTAATCTACTTTAATCAAATTAAAAATTAAAACTTGTTGTTGTTTTTCTAAATTATAAACATGGATAGCTTAAAGATTGTTATTAAATGTAACAATTTGAAATTGTTGTAAAATACATTTATTCAACCTGAACCACTATTTATAAAATTAGAAATTGTTTACTTGTAGTAAGTTTAAATGTATTTTTTATCATTAGCCACATTACATAAACCACATTAGCAAATATTATAAACTTGTCTAACCTAAGAACTTTTTCCAAAGCTTTACATAAAGCTTGTCTAGCTTCAGTTTCAAAATTTTCTAAACCTAAGTTTTAGAAATGTAGAGTTTAAAATGTCATTTATAACATTCTTTCAAACTAATCATCTTAGTGTTTCCTTACTGCTCTGCTAGCTATTAGAAATCAAATCTGGTAGGAAATGTTTTTATACTAACGTCCTCCACATTACAGCACACTAACAACTGGTATATGCTGGGACCATCAGTTTATCTGTAGCCTACAGCACACTAACAATTGGTACCCTTCAGTTTATCTGTAACCTACAGCACACTAACAACTGGTACATGCTGGTACCCTCCAGTTTATCTGTAGCCTACAACACACTAACAACTGGTACATGCTGGTGTCCTTCAGTTTATCTGTAGCCTACAGCACACTAACAACTGGTACATGCTGGTACCTTCAGTTTATCTGTAGCCTACAGCACACTAACAACTGGTACATGCTGGTGCCCTTCAGTTTATCTGTAGCCTACAGCACACTAACAACTGGTACATGCTGGTACTTTCAATTTATCTGTAGCCTACAGCACACTAACAACTGGTACCCTTCAGTTTATCTGTAGCCTACAGCGCATAACAACTGCTACCTTTCAGTTTATCTGTAGCCTGTAGCGCACTAACAACTGCTACCCTTCAGTTTATCTGAAAGTTGTTCTGTATATCATATAATTTCAGTTTATCTGTAAGTTGCTGTTTCTGTAGTCTACACACATTATAAACCGGTACCTAGTGATATCGTTGTGTTTATTTACATTTTTTTCTATAACCATTTCTAACTGGTATATACAAACTTTTTTCATTAAAATAATAGCAAATTGCATATTTGTTACGTTTAGTTTGTCTATCAATTTTTTTATAACCACATCAAAAACTGCTACTAACTAGTGTTATCCACTTCGTATTTCATATATTTTTGGCCTTACGAGTAAATTTTTTCCACCCTTCTAAAAAAATCACTTAGTCAACTCTAATAGAGTTTTCATGTTAGCAAAAATACCAGCGGGGACGGAGATCTAAAATGAGCAGAGAGAACTTAGAGAACGCAAACCGTTTCTGACACTCTTGGACGTCATGATGTGTTGAAGAGCAATGAAATACTCAGCGTGACGTCATGCCTAACTATATGGTTGGAAAAGCTAAGGTGGCGACGGAAAAATGTTTTTAAACCTCAAACTAATTTGTGTGTAACTTTTATATTCAGACAACACCATTATTATGATACTTAGTTATGTAACAGTCTTTCTGTACTATATTACATAGTGCTAAAACCGCGAGGGTACACATCATAAATCCGTGACTAAGTACGGTGTAGAGTACAGACATAAAGTGTACACATTTGCTATCTCTTCCTAACATACAGGTGTTATTTATCGTGGGTAATATCATTGGCTAACATTAATGAGTATTTATCAGGGATGCTTCTTTATATTACATTAACATAGGCGATACTTTATCAAAGTGGTGAACATTTTAAACTGTACAAGTTAAACTTATGTTAAAGTTATTTGGATTAGTGTATCACTCCTTACATTAAAGAATATTCCATTTAAAAATGACCAATCAGCTTATTAAGTACTAAAGAACTTAAAAACTCATGAGTCAGGTGACCAACTACTAAGGGATTTACTAAGCTAACCAATCAGCTCAACAGCTATTAAGAGACTTAGAAAACCAGTCAATCAGATGACCAACAGTCACAACTCATATTCTTGAGTGCTAAGTGCATGTACCGTCATGTTTTATGTAAAAAATGATGAAAGCAGTAGAAGTGATGGATAAATAAGTTTCAACTTAGATTATACTAAACATTCACCAGACGATCAATAGCAAATTAATATACACGCATATAGTTTGTTTTTCTTGGAGCAAAATGTTAGATTTAACACAGGTACACAAATAATGGCTGGAGACGGCTTGAATGGGTAATGAAGAAAAACTTTAATATAACAGCATGATGATGACAAAACCTTGTCGAAACGTTGTACATTTGCTGTTA